AATTCCCGCCCGACCGCCCCGGGACGAATCCTTCAGCGATCCATTCTCCTCCTTACCTCGACCAGTCACCACCCCTTCCCCCCTTGCCACTCTTCTCAGAGATCTGCAAGTCTAGGCCATCCTAGACCACCCCATCCCATCCAACTTTCCAGGGCAATCATCCATCTCACCCATACACTGGCTCCTCCACCCATCTCACCTTATCTCCATCCAGCGATCAATCACTCAATCACGCAAAAAAAGCATCGTGCTTCTCACGTTTCTGCGTGGCTTACTGGCTGTCACCCCCCTTATCCCGTATATCCGCGCATCCACTACCCACCACGCAAGCAAGCAAGCAAGGGTGGGGGATGCGTTCGGTTCGTCGATGGCCGCAGATGAGCCGCAGATGAACCAAGCCCGTCCAAGTTGTTCGCTCCGCCCGCCCGCACCGCACCGCCCTGCTTCTCTATCCCCCGCCCGGGTGGGCCAGCCGGCAACGCTGACGGTCAGGTCGTCGCAGGTGCGAATGAGCAACCCCCGAAAAAGGGTACGCCGCAAGGGGAATGGGACGGGAATTCGGGAAGCATCAGGACGAGAGAAGAGTCCTGAGAAAGAGAGCAATACAATCAAGATGAGGTGAGGTGACGCGGATAAAGGGACGCGTTACGCGGCCATCCGCTTCGTCACCACTCCAGCTGCAACCCTCCTCCTCCTCCTCCCCCCTTGGACCCTTCGAACGCCAGGCTCGCCAGCCCATCATCCTGCTACTGTTTTTTTTTTTTTTTTTTGGCCATCTTCCCACACTTGGCACCTTGATCGATGATCGAACGGAGCCCCGTTACCAGGCCCGTTGCCAATCTCTGGGTTCCTGATCAAGGGTTGCATTCGAATTCGGCAATCGGCCCCAGTGGGATCCCACGGAGAAAAAGAGTACAAACCACCTAAGATGAGACGGCGCCAACGCAATCAAGGACGGATTATCCGCGATTTCATTTCCTAGGGGCTACCGATTGGAGAACATTTGGGCCGGGGTATCAAACGGTGTGTGGAAGTTCGATCGAAAAATCCACATTGGCATGCAAAGGTTGGTCCAATTGCAACAGTCACAAATACAACAAATACAACACTACACAATCTTTATTTCTCTCTCTTTTTTACTTTTTCTTTTACTTGTTACAGTACGGAATTGCTGCAACTCTTTTTTTTCGGTCTCGCAAGGAATGTTCCTAAGCGGAGAATATCCGACCGCGCATGCAACATAGTCAAAAAAGAGACTCTGGCCTTGCATGGAAACATCGGCTGACAGGAGTTCCAGACCAAGTTCGATTTTGATTACCGGCCCGACGTGGGGAGCATGATGAGGGGACCGGGAAGGGTCTACACCACAAGACCCTGAACGGAGCAAAGCGAACGGGCCTGGCTGCACTGCACCACCGTTGCGTTTGCGCCCCAGAGAGGCCAGGGAACAACCCCCGAGCCAGGCCAAGAGGCAGAGGAAACCAAAGGAGGAAACCCAAGAGGTGCTTGGTCTTGGTTTGTGGTTTGAGCTATTGTCTGGTGCGGAGTGCACTGCCATCCATCACCACCACCAAGACAACACCAACATTTATAAACGCAACCCAAAACCCAGAGTTTCCGACATGGTTGGCATTCACACTCATTGAGACTTTGCTTCAGATTATGACATCTCTCATCTTCTCTATTCTTTCCTCGACTTTACCTGGCGTATGTTCTCTGCAGTCACATAGGTTGCACTATTCGAACGTGGCCTCATGTCGTCTTCGCACCCCGGGCTCCGTGGAAAGACAATAGAGGAAGCAGAGACTCGTAGTCGCAATGCAGTGCCGCCACTATTTTTTCCTTTTCGGAACTGGGTCCGGAGTCATCAAAGCTACATGTACACTTCTCCCGTCCGCATTGGTCGTATTTGGAAGCTGGAAGCTGGAGGTGGAGGAGAAAGACCGGTCACCGGCCGCACCCAAGTGCTGGTTGCAGCCGAAAAGTGACCAGTCACAAGATAACTGTTTGTCACTTAGAGCTTGGCCTTGTGTCATTAGATCATGTATCCATCCATACAATGCTTAGCAATGAGCAAACAAATATCAAATGTCAAATGTCAAAAATATGCACAGTCACCCCAGACCAATATTGCGCAGTTCGTCTCACGGTTCCGCGGCTCAGATGGCCCCGGGCAAAGACATTGCCTGATTGCAGCCAATTGTATAGATTGAATCAGGAACATGCATATCGGCGAGATCCCACACCCGGAGCATTTCCACCTACGCCGTTTGTAATAATCACTGGAACCTCCTAGAAGACAATGTGCAGCCTGCTTTACTCTCAGAGTCATCGCCATCACCAAATCCCAAGCCCCATAGACAACTTTCCGCGTAAACATATCCCATCTCCCCGCTGGCTGTTGCATTGGATGGATGGGCCGATTGTGCATTCCGTCCAAAGAACCGTTTGCTCAAAGTGAAACAGGGGAAATTCACATTGCGCGGGCCCGAGGGACTGGGTTTCCCTGCATTATAATCCCATCTCCCCGCCGCGAGCATGTCCAGTGTGCCAGTCCAAAGTCCCTTCATTTTCCTCGTTCCTCTTACTCCAAACGGCAACAAACTGCTACTCCATACATACAATCAACCCGTTGATAGCTACCCCATAAAACGCCCAGAAAACGGAACTGAACGGGCCACGGCATGGTCTCCAGCTGGATTTGACTTCTTCTCTGATGGTCATCTCCCGGTACAACTCGCATGATTCATATGGACTGGAGACTTGGGGGAGCAGGCAGCAGTGGGGGCATCAGCCATCAGGTAAAAAGTGAGGACAAGCGGCAAACTCCCCGCGGCGATTCTTATTCCCGTGTCATCGCAACCCGTTCCACCCTGTGTCCCTCCGTTTCGTGATCCATCAGAGAGTCCCGGCGCCATGTGTTGTGGAGGGTCCCCCGGCCTCGGCGCAATCTTTGACGCCGTTCATGTGTCTCCAAGGCCCCTCCCAATCCTTCCATCTCTTTTCGGACCCCGAAAGCGAATCCCTCGGATCAGACCCGTTTTCCTCCGCGTGGCGTCCGTACTCCGACCATCAGACGGCACGGGAACAGCACAGCAAGGTTCCCGTCTAATGTCGTCGCTGGTGCCTAAGCTCTATTTTCCTTGCCTGCTAGATATTGTGATTGGTTTGCTTTATTTGCTCGATCTGTCCCTCCATGAAGCTTATGTCATGTGACATGATCGGAGTGAGTCACTCGCCAGACCACGTCGAGAATATTCTGCTATGCCTAAGCTATGGCAGTCTTCAACTCATTGCTCCGGGAGCGCGCGCGCGCCGCCAAGCAAGGGGCGGCTGGCTAGCCGGCTGGATAGCCGATGCGCATGAGCTTGAGCTTGAAGCCTCAATGTGTGAAAGAAGCATGATGCCGAAAGGCTGACTACATCCGCCCGCCATCCTCAAAGCGGCAATTCTTCAAATGCCATCGGCTTACATTCCCCACCGCTCAAACCGGTATGGCGGCAACATCATTCACTCTGCTTCCTGTCGTCATCACATTCCTCAAGCTTCGTCGCTCAGTCCTCTGTCTTACCACGAGCGGACCAGCCCGCCCGACGAATAGTTTGCTCACGAATTGCTTACAGACCCGCATGCCCGAATGAGCCTAGCTTTGGACCAGCCACTATGCAGACGGCTTACACTCACGATAGCCTCATCCGTCCAGCTAGAGCGAGGAAACTGGCTCTGCTATTCAATGTCTCGATGGCGTAGCCAATTACAGCGCATAGATCAGAACGTATAGCATCTTGTGGAGATAGGAGGCCATGGTTGAACGGGCGAATACACATCGCCGACGGCGCAACATGGTGAAGGAAACGGTCGTCGACTAGATGTAGCCTAGACATGTATTGGAACCAAGAAAATGCCAGTGCAGTTTGCTGCGCACATCAAGCGAGGCTTGGAAATATATGAACTTCGTTGCATAGATATAAAACGAACAAATATTCTCTTCTCCATCCATGATCTCCAAGTCACCTAATCGATCGTGGTCGAGTCACTGATCCAAGTTCCCACCAACATCCTCAAGATCACGAATCACCAAGATCCATCTTAGTAGCCGCAGAGTCCGCAACAACTGATCTATCAAAGTCAAGAGTTTCGTCTGACCCTGGACCGACTGCTTCTCCTAGTCCAACCACGCCTCAACCGGGTTAAGAGCCAGTTCCTAATCGGCAGCACACGACGAATAAGTCCTTTCCGACGTCTTCGCGACATCTAGTGCCCAAGTGTCCAGCCGACACGTCCAACACATCATCTGACGCACCTGGCCCCCTCGAAACAATGGTCGCCCTTTTTGTCTACGAAAAGGATATGCGTGATCCAACTCCTGATATCCCTTCACTCGAAGGAAAGGTCATTTTTGTCACCGGCGGTGAGTTCTTCGGTTTCCCATTTTCCAAACAATACTTCGTAGCTCAATCCGTAGCTTTCGGAAAGAGCAAGGCTTCTTTTCCTTTGATTTCTTCTGGTCTTCTTCTTCTTCTTCCACAGTTTCTGTATGCTCGGCGTGAAACTCGATACCAAGGGAAGGACAGGAGGGGCCCAAGATTGTGCTCTCATCTCTTGCGGTATTCTTGTCCAGCTTGATATCGGGAATAGCTTCCTGGATTCGTGTGTGAACGCTATATCCAGTCATCACCATCATTCTAGCTCGTATCAACCGCGATATATCCCTCCATCCGCTCCCCTTCATACGAGTCTTGACGATATATCTGTATTGTAAAGTCAACCTGCCAGCAATATTCCAGTCACGATTCATCATGAGATCCGCCCTATCCATGCAAGTGCTGGATGAAGATCACTCAAGATGCTATCGATGTCATCAAGAAAGAGAGCCCATCTCCCCCAAAACCACATACATCATCCAACACCCGCTCACGATCTACTCACCGTCATAAGACAAGCCAATACACACGCGTATCCGAGCCCAACAACAACAACAACAACAACTACCAGCACAAATGGGGACTAACAACCACACAGGAACAGCAGGCCTAGGGAAAACCACAATCCTCGCCCTCCTAGCCCACAACCCATCACACATCTACTTCTCAGGCCGCTCCCACGCCTCCGCCAAAGCCCTCATCGACGCCGCCGCTTCCTCCACCTCTTCACCAAACCCTCCACCCCTAACCTTCGTCCCCCTAGACCAAACCTCCCTCCCCTCGATCCGCACCGCCCTCAAGAAACACTTCACCCACACCCGCCTCGACATCCTAATTAACAACGCGGGCATCATGGCCGGCGCCGCCGGCCTCTCAGCCGACGGTTACGAGATACAGTTTGCCACGAATCACCTAGGCCACGCCATGATCGTTCGAGAGTTGCTTCCGATTCTACTACGTACCGCTGAGGGGTCTGGGTCTGGGTCTGGAGCTGGATCTTCATCCACATCTAGCGGCGGCGGTGCCCCGGCCGACGTACGCATCATCAACCTCACGTCCGTCGGGTACCAAGCCCACCCAAGCGACGGCATATCCTTTGAGACGTTGGGTACGACGCAAGCTGGGCCGCCGGTTCTGGGGCAGTGGATTCGATACGGGTACGTTGCTCATCCCTCGTCATCACTCACCTCCTTTTGATCCCTCTTGATCCCCTTCTCCCCCTCATCCTCAAAGTCGTCGCAACACCCCGTAACTTCACCAAAGAAATCCCCCAAATTAATAAACCCGCCTCCCACCAGCCAAAGCAAACTCGCAAACATCCTCTTCACCCGCGAACTCGCCCGCCGCCACCCCTCCATAACCACCCTCGCCATCCACCCAGGCGTCGTCGACACAGGTCTAGTCACAAACCAAAGCCGCCTCAACCGACTCTTCGTCTACCTCCCGCAAAAGATCATGGGGTCCTCCGTCCTGACGCCGGAGCAAGGCTGCTGGAACCAGGTCTGGGCCGCCGCCGCGGCCAAGAAGACGGATCTCGTGAATGGTGGGTTTTATATGCCCGTCGGACACCTGGCGGATGATAAGCTGGATAAGGTGGCGAGGGATGGGGAGTTGGCTGGGAGGCTTTGGCAGTGGACGGAGGATGTTTTGGATCGAGTTGAGTGAGTGTGGTTCGGGCCCATTGTCTGAGAGTGTTGAGTTACTCTCGAGGCTTACTAGATATTGACTTTATTTCCTTCATATAATGATACTTTTAATCTACACGAAATCGAACATGATGAAAGCGACCATTACAGCGATATTAATGCCCAGGCCGTGCAAATACCACATTTAGATCCTTGCTGATAATTTCATTCGTTCATCAAAGATCGGAATGTATCTTGAGTTCATGTTAAGGCAGCCCGACGTCTCACTTCTCCGGCTTCGGGGCCGGGGGTCCGGCCGGCGCTGGCCACACATCCACCGCCGGGCCGGGCGGAAGTATGTCTCGCTTCCGCACCTGGCACCACCAGCGTTGCACCGGACATCGAGACAAGATAGCACAATACCACTTTGCCATCGATCGAACCCTGGATGTCCCACCTGGCGTGTGCCCTCGTCTGCCAACCCAATGTTACCTCACACCACCGCGTCGCCGACGCGCGCCCATCGTCGCTTCCAATCATTGGCATTTCCCCTCCAGAAGAGTCCCAACAGATCATACCACACCCATCGGATGTTCAGTACATAAAACCACTAAACTCTAGATTTAGACGTAGCACGCCGGCCAGCCGGTGAGTGTTTGCCATCGCCTGCGGCTAACTACGTTCCCTTGGACTCGATCGCCTCACGGACGAACTATCCCCAAGATGGGCTTATCAGCCGTCACTACGGCCGCTCACACCATTTCTTAACTCGGTCTCAACTTCTCAACGTCACCTCAAGAGGCATGGCACGCAACGCACGTTCCCTCCCAAATTCCCAATCTCTCATGTTCCGCCGTTTGACAGGGTCGGCCTGTGTGAGTTGTAATACCTACGGATACTCTGCGTGCTGGTAATGAGTGGCATTCGTACTAGCGGCTCCAGCGGACGGAGGCTTACCCCGCCAAACGCCAATTCCACCGCCGACGACGCGGACCGCGCCTTGAACCGCGTCGAGTTGACACATTCGGGGAAATTTGTAAACAAAAAAATAACATGAGCCTAACAAGTGGCATCAAACTTTGTGACCGTCATATCCGGGCCCGCTGTTGAGCGATATTTTGCGCGAGAAAAGTCGGGAACCTTGCAGATGGGAGTCAAATGAACTCGCCTGCAGTACACTCGCTCGCGCAGCACAGGTTCGAACATAAGGTTGTAAGCCATGATATCCCAGGCGCACCCTCTCGTCTGGCAAGACTCTCAAGTCGGACTCAGAAACGGTGTTACAAGCAGCGTAGAGAACAAGAATAGGGATCCAAGACAGGGCCGCAGTAATGCAACCACTTTCGGCCGGTAGTAACCTGTAGCACGTCCCCCGCGACCAGGGAGATCAAATTCCAGACCAAACCCGCCGTCTCGGGTTACATTCCTCAAGCAGGGGTGCATAACAAGCACACGGGGAGACTGAACTGGCGACTCAATGGGCGGCACGTGGAGTGTGGGAGTTTTGTGGCCATCGGAGTAACGGAGCGGGCATCATCGCACGGCTTCTGCCATGGTAGAAACAATTTTCCCAGCTGCTTCCCAGTGTTGGAGGGTCCAGACTCTCGTAAGAAAAAATTCTCTCGCAACAATGACTCCATCGCTGCCATGTTCTTTTGTGCGGGCAGCCCTTTGGTTCAGCCCTGACATCGGCTTTCGATGACCCGCCTAATGGGGAGCCCAGGGTGACGGCCAAACTGGAGGGAGAGGTGCAACACTGCAAATCGCGGAGATTGGGGCGGCCCAGCGTGGTGCGGAAGCGAAATAACGTCGGCTTCTTAGCGCCGGCAAAGGGGGGTAAATGGACGTAGGCGTACTCCGTATGGGTGCGCAATGTTGGAAACGCTGTGGCTGCAGAGCCAGAGGCAATCCATCACTGATCCATTCCGAACGACTTGCCTCTCGTGGGAACACGAATCGTGACTCTCGCCTCGGGGACTGCACAGCTCTCCCGCCACACGACTGGTCGAGGCTGTGGGGAGTATCTCATCTTAGACCGTTTTACACATATTGACTGACGTAGCTTTCCTCCTTTGCAACGACCATGGCCAACTCTCAGCATCGATGAACACATCCTGGACTCGGGACCATTGCGATGAAGTAGCTACGGATAGTATGGACTGGACCTTCAACTCCGACAGTTTCGATTCGTCGCCGTGTAAGCCAGTCTGGCTTGCCTCCTCTATATCCACGCGTTGATGGGCAACGGGAGGCCATGTGTTGGATCATGGATGAATGATAAAAGTCCGTTCGCCCTGGATTCTGCCGGGATGGAGGTCGTCAAACTCTTGAACTTCCGGTCCGATCACGCCGCCGCGTGAGCCGTGTCCTTTCAACACGATCGTGGATCGTCGTTTACAACCACAGTCTTCGGAATTTTCTGTGCCGTCATCAGTCGATGCCACGTTGGCCCCCGTTGCCCGTCCGCAAGTGCTCCGTACGCTCGTCAATCTCTCGAATATCCCTCGTCTTCCCCAGCGATCAGTTCCGGGTCAGCCTTGCCAACAAAACATGCCGTTGAGTGGACCTAGAGACACGTTCTAGCGCTGACAATGGAGAGGAAAAAACCACAAGTGCTCCGTAAGAAAAAAGCTTTGGACCGTCAAAAACCAATTGTAAATCTTAAAGACTGGGAACGGCCCGGCTGGTAGGAGCGTCATCATCAGACGAACTGGCGCACGGCACATCTTTGATGACTCCATTCTTTCTCCAGTCAATCAAGATGCGACAACCTCAATCTGCGGCTGCACCGGGCCATTTCGAACCCAGGCCTCCAGCGTTCATGCCGTGCTGCAGGACCGGGAACGTCCTGGGAGCAGGCGGGGAAGCTGAATCTATGTTTCTTGTAGCGGGAATTTTTCCTTGACCGTCGAGGCTTTCAGTGCTCCGTCAACAGAAATCTCACACCTACATGCCCATCAAACATTGGTTAAATTCGATTCGTGCTCAATCTCGATGGTCCAGGTCACCACAACTTGGCTGACGTGTGTCGGCCCAGCAAGGCTCGACCAAGCATACTGCGCCGCCACGGGCGAAGCGACTTGCGCAAGGTGCTGCCGCAGCGCCTCTGATGAATCGTTGCTGAAGGATCAATCTCGTTGAATGCTGCCAAGAAAGTGTGTATTTATTTCTCCAATTTCGAAGAGTTGGACCCGTTGGTTATCTAGGGCTGCGATCCCACCCGCTGGGTCAATAGCTTTCCCGACCGAACAGCCGACAACCATTCGGCTGGGATTCAGGGTGGACTCGCTTGAGAAATTGCACCTTCGCAGAGTCTGAGTCTGCCCATCTTCATGTCGGAAAGTATTATTGGCCATTGGGCTGAACCATTTGCGTACGAATAAGCCGTTATCGACTCGTCAACAGCAACGGCAGCCCCGACGATCCATCTTCCATACAAGTGTAAAGCCATGGCCTTAGCCGGGATCTGCCATGAATGAGATCTGATGTCAACATCTGGTACTCCGTACAGATGCAAGGGCGCGCCAAGGCACAGCTGTACAGAAGTTTCCGCCACTGTGCGTCTTGCAGTGCAGGATAGGTAGTTTCTTTTCCAGCATCAGAATAATCATGCTTCATTATGAAGCCGGCGCTGGTTCAGTCCGAAGATGAGTGAAGCTTTCAGCGTCTCCACGAGACCTGTTCGCAGACTCCATGTTTATGCCGCGCTTCATCCACAGGAGGTAAGTAGCACGAAGGACGACTGTCACTTTTCGTCCAACTTTGCAAGAACAGATTGACAACCGATGAAGCCAGTTGAGCTCACTGTCTTGATATTGAAATGTGACCCAACCAGCAAAGGCAAGGAGCGCACGATCGCCGCTGCAAAGGTAAAAGTGCCAGGAACAGCTTGCTGATTGACCGCGGAAGCTGGCGGCAGGTCCGCAGGGATGGGCCAAGAGAGAAAGTGTCGAGAGCCCCTCTTCGAAATTTCGAAGGGGGGTGGGGGAAAAGATTGACACTGTCTGCCTCTGACGGCGTCCGTTTGCTTGGCTAGCGGGGAGTTTGAAAACTTGACGGCTGAAGGCCAAGGGATCGCTGTCCGTCTAAACAGCAAGAAGCGAGACACACCCCCGTGAAAGAAATTGTGTGCTTTGCATGAATCGTGAAGTCGTTGTGTTTCCAAGTCAGACATTATTGCACGGAGTAGATGCTGTGAGGTAAACTCGAGCCAGTGCCAACGTATTTGTGGGTGAAGATGTCCGTACAGTGGGACCAAGAGGTTTCGATGTGTCTTCGTTGGCTGACAGTGAATGCGCACTGAATGCCAATGAAACGAGATGACCAGCGGTCAGTGAGATGATTCTTGTTTATTTTCTGATCATGTGTGAGGATAGCCTCGTCTTGGCGGAAAGAATGTGCAGCACAGAGTACTCTTCTTCCCAATAACATCCGTATCCAGAAGCATTCGCAGAGCAGTAACAGCCCGCAGCCTGCAAGACCGGAGCCTCTTTGGCAATCGACGGCCGTTTTTTCCGTCATGCCACTCAATTCCCGTGCCGTGACGGGTTCAGTAAGCCGGGGCGTGGGCCGTGGTTTAGGTCGGAAGAAAACCGGATCAAGCATGAATTGCCACTTCCCTTCCTTCTACTGCGTAAAAGACCAGATCCACAGGGAAGAAGTAGTTTGGCTAATGTGTCGAATCACCCTCCTTTCAGCTCCGAGACATGAGTAGGCTGAAACAAAGCTCGATTCGAAACCAAACGGCTCAAAGCCAGCGAGGACGAGGAAGCCTGGTGATAGGCAACGCGTCCAAATTATAGCCGAGCTGAAGGTTTGCCCAGGACGTCTCGAGAGCTGAAGAGAGGAATGGAATGCAAGAGGTGCTCCATTGGATTACAGCCGAAACGCGAATCTGACGGAAACGCGGGGGTTGCATGGCGGCACGGGTGATGTGCAAAGTGGGCGCGGGCCAAAGCTGCCCTGGTAAAGCATCTCGGCCATTTGGCCTAGGCTGTCGTTCGAGCAGACCAGGGTACCACAATGGACATTAGTGATTGC